TGGGGGAGGTGGGACTATTACAAATCGGACGGTCTACACCTGGGCAGGACTGGAACCAATGTCCTAGGGGCTGCTTTTGCTAACGCTGTTGGGGAGGGTTTAAACTAATGTGGGAGGGGGATGGGAACCAAATGAGGAGGTTAGTGGACAATAAAGAGGTAGTAACTGAAGCCTATAAGGAACTAGATAATGAAGTCACTGTGACTAAGGGGAAGAGTAGGCAGAGAGCAGATGATGAACACAAAGGGACAGGTGGTCTGTGGTGCATTTGTTTAATGCGGGAACAGTAGTAGGTAGTAGATGAACTTAGGGCTTGGATTAGTACCTGGGAGTATGATGTTATTGCTATTACTGAGACTTGGTTGAGGGAAGGCAAGATTGGCAACTAAATATCCCAGGATATAGATGCTTCAGGCAGGATAGTGAGGGAGGTAAAAGGAGTGGAGGAGTTGCATTACTGGTCAAAGAGGATATCACAGCTGTGCTGAAGGAGGGCATGATGGAGGACTCAAGCAGTGAGGCAATATGGGCAGACCTCAGAAATAGGAAGGGTGCGGTAACAATGATGGGGCTGTATACAGGCCTCCCAACAGCGAGCGTGAGATAGAGGTACAAATATGTAGACAGATTATGGAAAGATGTGGGAGCAACAGGATGGTGGTGATGGGAGACTTTAGTTTTCCCAACATTGACTGGGATTGACTTAGTGTTAGGGGTTTAGATGGAGCAGAATTTGTAAGGAGCATCCAGGACGGTTTTCTAGAGCAGTATGTAAATAGTCCAACTCAGGAAGGGGCCATACTGGACCTGGTGTTGGGAATGAGCCCGGCCAGGTGGTTGAAGTTTCAGTAGGGGATTACTTTGGGATTAGTGATCACAATTCCGTAAGTTTTAGAATACTGATGGACAAAGACGAGAGTGGTCCTAAAGGAAGAGTGCTGAATTGGGGGAAGGCCAACGATAGCAAAATTCAGCAGGAGCTGGGGAATGTGGATTGGGAGCAGCTGTTTGAGGGTCAATCCACATTTGATATGTGGGAGGCTTTTAAAGAGAGGTTGATTAGAGTGCAGGACAGACATGTCCCTGTGAAAATGAGGGATAGAAAGGGCAAGATTAGGGAACCATGGATGACAGGTGAAATTGTGAGACTAGCAAAGAGGAAAAAGGAAGCATACATAAGGTCTAGGCGACTGAAAACAGACGAAGCTTTGGAAGAATATCGGGAAAGTAGGACCAATCTGAAACAAGGAATTAAGATGGCTAAAAGGGGTCATGAAATATCTTTAGCAAACAGGGTTAAGGAAAATCCCAAAGCCTTTTATTCATACATAAGGAGCAAAAGGGTAACTAGAGAAAGGGTTGGCCCACTCAAGGACAAAGGAGGGAAGTTATGCGAGGAGTCAGAGAAAATGAGTGAGATTCTTAATGAGTACTTTGCGTCGGTATTCACTGAGGAGAAGGACATGACGGATATTGAGGTTAGGGATAGATGTTTGATTACTCTAGGTCAAGTCAGCATTAGGAGGGGGGAGGTTTTGGGTATTCTAAAAGGCATTAGGGTGGACAAGTCCCCAGGTCCGGATGGGATCTATCCCAAGTTACTGAGAGAGGTGGGAGAGGAAATAGCTGGGGCCTTAACAGATATCTTTGCAGCATCCTTGAGCATGGGTGAGGTCCCGGAAGACTGGAGAACTACTAGTGTTGTCCCCTTGTTTAAGAAGGGTAGCAAGGATAATCCAGGTAATTATAGACCAGTGAGCCTGACGTCAGTGGTGGGGAAGTTGCTGGAGAAGATACTGAGGGATAGGATCTATTTACGTTTGGAAGAAAATGGGCTTATTAGTGATAGGCAGCATGGTTTTGTGCAGGGAAGGTCATGTCTTACCAACTTGATAGAATTCTTTGAGGAAGTGACAAAGTCGATAGACGAGGGAAGGGCTGTGGATGTCATATACATGGACTTCAGTAAGGCATTGGATAAGGTTCCCCATGGTAGGCTGATGGAGAAAGTGAAGTCTCATGAGGTCCAGGGTGTACTAGCTCGATGGATAGAGAACTGGCTGGGCAACAGGAGACAGAGAGTTGTAGTGGAAGGGAGTTTCTCAAAATGGCGAACTGTGACCAGTGGTATTCCACAGGGATCTGTGTTGGGACCACTGTTGTTTGTGATATACATAAATGATCTGGAGGAAGGTATAGATGGTCTGATTAGCAAGTTTGCAGATGACACTAAGATTGGTGGAGTAGCAGATAGTGAAGGGGACCGTCGGAGAATGCAGCAGAATACAGATAGATTGGAGAGTTGGGCGGAGAAATGTCAGATGGAGTTCAATCCAGGCAAATGCGAGGTGATGCATTTTGGAAGATCCAATTCAAGAGCGAACTATATGGTAAATGGAAAAGCCCTGGGGAAAATTGATGCACAGAGAGATCTGGGTGTTCAGGCCCATTGTACGCTGCAGGTGGCAACGCAGGTGGATAGAGTGGTCAAGAAGGCATACGGCATGCTTTCATTCATCGGATGGGGTGTTGAGTACAAGAGCTGGCAGGTCATGTTGCAGTTGTACAGGACTTTGGTTCAACCACATTTGGAATACTGCGTACAGTTCTGGTCGCCACATTACGAAAAGGATTTGGATGCTTTGGACAGGATGCAGAGGAGGTTCACCAGGATGTTGCCTGGTATGGAGGGCGCTAGCTATGAAGAGAGGTTGAGTAGATTAGGATTATTTACATTAGAAAGATGGAGGTTGAAGGGGAACCTGATTGAGGTCTACAAAATCATGAGAGGTATAGACAGGGTGCATAGCAAGAAGCTTTTTCCCAGAGTGGGGGAACTCAATTACTAGGGGCCACGGTTTCAAGGTGAGAGGGGAATAAGGGAGATATGCGTGGAAAGTTCTTTATGCAGAGGGTGGTAGGTGCCTGGAATGCGTTGCCAGCGGAGATGGTAGAGGCGGGCACGATAGCATCATTTAAGATGTATTTAGACAGATACATGAATGGGCAGGGAGCAGAGGGATACAGATCCTTGGAAAATAGGCAACAGGTTTAGAGGACCGGGATCGGCGCAGGCTTGGAGGGCCGAAAAGCCTGTTCCTGTGCTGTAATTTTCTTTGTTCTTTGTTGTTCTTTGTTTGAGGCTGGATTTGACAAAGTATGGCATCAAGGAGCCCTAGTAAAACTGGAGTCAGTGAAAATCAGGAAAAATTATCTATGGTTGGAGTTATACCTTCTACATAAGATGTTTGTGGTTCTCAAAATGCAATTATCTCAGTGTCAGGACATCACTGTGGATGTTCCTCAGGGTAGTTTTTTCACTCAATATGATTAGAGACATTATGGCACACCTATGGAGCAGGTGGGACTTGAACTCAAGCCTTCTGGCCCAGAGGTAGGGACTTTATCACTGTGCCAAAAGCCCTTGTTCCTCAGGGTAGTGTTCTAGTTCCAACCATCCTCAGCTGTTTCATCAATGTAGTTCCCTCCATCATTAGGTTAAAACTGGGGAGTTTTGCTGATGTTACAAAATTCAGCACCATTTGTGTCTCCTCAGATACAGAAACAACTCCTGTCCAGGTGCTGCAAGATCTGCACAACATCTGATAAGTCTCAAAGAACATTCTTGCTACCCAAGTGCCAGGCATTCCTTCCCACAATTAATGCAAGCATAGAACACTTACCATGCAATACGTGATGCGAGTGTAAAGCAGTGACAGTGAGAGATTAAAATGATAAAATATGGAAGTAAACTTCAAGTCAGTTATTTGATTTTAATCTTTCAAGAAGTGTAGGCATTGGTCATCCATAATTGCCCTGTAGAAGGTAGTGAGGAGCTGCCTTCTTGAATTGCTGGAGACCACTGTGTGTAGACACACCCACATTGCTGTTAGGAAGTGAGTTCCAGGATTCTAACCCAGCAAGACTATCTCCAACAAGAGAAACTCTCACCATTTCCCCTCAGCTTTCCATAGCTTTCGAATACTCAGTCTCCCACTGTCTGAAGCTTATCATTGGTCAGAAACTGAATTGAACCAGCTACAAAAGCAACTCAGAGGCTAGGAATTCCACGATGAATACTTTACCTTATGTTTCCCCAAAGTTTATCCATCATGTACAAGGCACAAGTCAGGAGTATGATGGAATATTCCCCACTTGCCTAGACAGATGCAGCCTGAGAAACATTGAAGAACACCATCCAGGATAAAGAAACTCACTTTATTCGCACCCTGTCAACCACTTTGAAATTCACTTGCTTCACCATTGACCCACAGTGACAGCTGTGAATACCATCTACATAATGCACTGCAGAAATTCACCCAGACTTCTTCAATAATACCCTTCAAATTCACAACATCTATTACCCAAAAGGATAAGGGCAGCGGATGCATGGGAACATCAGGATCTCACCAAACCACACACCATCCTAATCCTGAACAATACTGCTGATCCTTCACTCTCGTAGGGTGAGCATCCTGGAACTCATTAGCAAAAAAGCATTGTGGGTGTATCTGACCCTGGGGTCTACAGTAACTAAAGATGACAGTTCACCTCTGCCTTCTCCAAGGCCATAAATGCTGGCCTAGCCATGAATCCGTAACCCATGAGGGAATAAAAGCAACCCACCTGAGATTCACTTCCATGCCGTATCATCTTAATCTTTCATTGTCACTGCTTTACGCTCACATCACCAGTCACATGGTAGAAAAATTCTGTACTTGCTGTAATTGTGGAACAGATAGTAACTGCATGGCTGGGTGTTGTTGCAGAATCTTTCAAATCTTTGCATATAGCTTCTGTTTGTTGTAGTGCTGTTTTAGCCTGGCTGAGAATTGGTTGCTGTCCAAGCATTGTTTCACATCTCCAAGTCAAGGAGAAGGGTAAATAGTCATTAATTCTTACTTATTGGAATGTGCCATTTTCAGACTTCTCAGGGAGAATCCTTGATTCAGTCCACCTAGCCAGTCAAAGAATTACAGAACTGGAGCCAAGTCTTTACAGACTTTTATTTAGATTTTATTTATCATTAAAAATTTTATTTCGAGTCACACATTACAAATTGACAATTTTTACTCCTGGAAACTCTTTTGCAAAATATAGAACAAATTAATCAATTAACTTAAAAGGTATAGCATTTAAAGAAGCACTATAACATCACATAACATCGGATAGTCAAAGGAAATTTACACTTGGTTTTGGCAGGCGGGACAGGGCGTCAGCGTGGAATGATGCACTCCAACCCATTTAGAACCATAGGTTAGGTAAGGTGCGATATCATGTTGAAAGTAAGGTAGGCTGTGAGATTCAACAATACTTTTCATGGTCTGCTACCTGGACTGGTTACTGGCTATTATAGCCAGGCCAAGAAGGACTTCCAATCTGCAAACCCTGCCCAAGACGTAAACTACCTCATGAAAAACCTGAAACTCAAAGAGCCTTTTTCGAAAAAAATCTATTCATTCTTGGGTAATGCATTGCTGGCTAGGTCAGGATTTATTGCCTATCCTCAGTTGCCCAGAGGGCTGTTCAGGCTCAACCAAATTGTCATGGATCTGGAATCACATGTAGTCCAGACCAAGCAAGAACAGCAGATTTCCTTCCCTAAAGGACATTAGTGCACCAGACGGCTTTATTTTACGACAATTGACAGTGATTACAAGGTCACATTATATGAACTTTAATTCCCGATTGTATTGAATTTAAATTTCACCATCTGCTATGGTGAGATTCAAACCCCCTGTCCCCAGAACACTGGTCTGAGAATTTGGATTGTTAATCCACTTCATTTCCACTACACTACCATAATTATTTAACATATCCCATCCAGCAGGACGTAAACTAGCTTTGTGGATTAGCCATCCATTATAGAATCTTTCCTGTTTCCATTTCCCAGAAGGATCATGGCATCAGCTTTCCTTTAGGAAGTATATACATACGTATCCCATCAGGACTCAATTCACATATCAAAAATATCTAAACTAAAATCAATTTTGTGTTTTGCAGTTCTCTGTCTCGTATGATGCAGGGATGTAGCTGCCAGATATATCATCTCCAGTGCACATCAGACTGTACTTTCATTATTTTTGTCAAACATGAGTTCACTAGGTTTGAGATTTATGAAAATAAATCCTGAGTTGTGAAATGTTTTACCACCATTACTATCAAATTGCACCACGTCTTTCACTATGCTCTAAATCTGCGTATAGAACAAAACTTCATTTGTTGCCAGATGGGACTATTTCATTTAGAGATATCTCATTTTACCAAAAATTAGCTAAGTATCAGTTTCAGGGAGTTTCATAGAGGATTTGTCTCTCTGAGCTCTGGTAAGTTTTCTCATGCTATTCCCCACAAATTGCCTCGTTAACTATGCACTACCATTCGAAGGAGCCCCACTTGCATTGTGACGCACTCAGCAGTAATGAAAGTACCCTTAACACTGCCGTGACTTCCCAATATTCATGGTGCCATTTTAAAAAAAACGCAACCATGGTTAAGTCCTGTCAGTCAGGAGCTGAACTTCATGGTTCCTGTGTATGGGAAACTACCCCAGAAATTGCTGATAAAGAGAAGTTAGCTTCACATTAATTTGAAGGTCCTGGTGGACAGGGCGGTGCAGAGAAGTGCCATCCTCTAGCTTTAGGACCAGAGGAGACCATGACACCTCACCCTGCTAGCCTGGTCTGAAGTTGCCACCAAGGTTAGCGGAGTGTTCAAGGTCTGAAGAAACACTTTGCATGCTGCAAGAACTTTAATGATCTTTTCTACTCTGTGGGAATAACTGCCACTGTCTTCTGTATGCTCCCTCACACTCACTCTAACTCTGCTACTGCATCCACTGCCTACCAAGGCTCGTGGGCTACTACTCTTAAAATTGAATGCAGCATTTTCCCTCACTTGCATTCATGCACCCCAACCACAATCTGCGCCTCTCGTTCACTACTAATCCTGCATGTTCTCTTTGCACTGACTTGGAACACCTCACCTCCATTCATCATGCAGGGGCTATCAAGCTGTAGCTACCGCATCATTCTGGCTAATCATGAAAATTTCATGCTTTTACTGCCTGGTCTGAGATTGGACTTGAGCTTGGAAACTGTGGCCCACAATTGCGAATGCTACCGCTGCACCACAAGGCTTTCTCTTTTCATTGACGCTCTGAAATTAAAATTAATTTTAAAATTTCATCTCAGTTAGCAAATTAGTTAGCGGAGGACAGGGTTGTAAGCTCACAATATAGTTCATATTTTCTGAAGAACCTAACATATGGTTAATTGTATACCAATGTTTGTGGATGCTTATTTTTGTACCTGGCTTTGAAAGACTCTTGTTGAATGTGCAGCTGCTTGTAAATACAGCTATTGTGCGTTAAACACTTGAATACAATGAGAATACTTTCAGCACAAAGAGGAAGAGTGTCTCATTTCACAGGGTACTACAGTTTAGAGAAAAACATTATCCATGAGCTGTTTGTTGAATAAAACAGTTGGGGCTTTCCCAGCCCACCAGCTGCTTCCTCTCCTCCCTCACTATGAACAACAGAATGAGCATCTACTGAATGAGCAATGAATTTAGAAATAACCACATGATGGAGATGATTGCAGTTTTCAACTCATCCACAATACCACAATAGTCTTTTGGATACAAAATTGCCTTGAAGGGAGTAGTCAGAGGGTGGTGGTGAGGTTGTTTTTCAGACCAGAGGCCCTGTGACCAGGCAGTGTGCGGCAAGGATCAGTGCTCCACTACTTTTTGTCATTTATATTAATGATTTGGATATGAATATAGGAGGTGTGGTTAGTAAGCTTGCAGAAGACACAAAAACTGGGGTAGTGGACAGTGAAGAAGGTGTCTCAGAGTACAACGGGACCTTGATCAGATGGGCCAATGGGACGAGGAGTGGCAGATAGAGTTTAATTTAGATAAATCAGGGCAGGACTTATACACTTAATGGTCGGGTCCTGAGGAGTGTTACCCAGCAAAGAGACCTTGGGGTGCAGGTTCATAGTTACATGAAAGAGGAGTTGCACATAACAGGGTAGTGAAGAAGAAGTTTGGTACACTTGTGTTTATTGGTCATTGCATTGAGTAGAGGAGTTGGCATGTCGTGTTACAGCTGTACAACATATTGGTTAGGTCATTTTGGGAATATTGTTTTCAATTCTGTTCTCCCTGCTATAGGAAAGATGTTGTGAAACTTGAAAGGGTTCAGAAAAGATTTACAAGGATGTTGCCAGGATTGGAGGGTTTGAGCTGTAGGGAGAAGCTAAATAGGCTGGGGCGAGCTATTTTCTCTAGAACCTTGGAGGCTGAGGGGTGACCTTATAGAGGTTTACAAAATCATGAGATGCATGGATAGGCTGAATAGCCATGGTTTTTTTCCCCCAAGGTAGGGGAGTCCAAAACTAAAGGACATAGTTTTAAGGTGAGAGGGCAAAGATTTGAAAGGGACCTAAGGTGCAACTTTTTTCACACAGAGGGTGGGGTGTTTATGGAATGTGCTGCCAGTGGAGGCTGGTACAACTACAACATTTAAAAGGCATCTGGATGGATATGTGAATACAAAGGGTTTAGAGGGATATGGGACAAATGCTGACAAATGGACTAAATTAATTTAGGATATCTGGTCAGCATGGACGAGTAGGACCAAAGGGTCTGCTTCTGTGCTGTACAACTCTATTTTTCTATGACCTCTTTCCAGCTCATCTAATGAACTCTGTCTCTTGACCGTTTCACCAATTACTTGATTGTTTCCATGATCATCCTATATAACAGTGAAGCACTTTGGAAAGTGCAGTCATGTTAAAGATGCTATATAAATGTAAGGCATCACTGTATCTGAACCATGCCATACATACTTTCCTCATTTTCATTCTCTTGTTTCACCCAATGTGTTCTCTTCTCCTCATACTGATGGCTTTAGTGTGAATTTCCAATACTTACTGTTTTCATTTCCCTCATTTCATTCAGTCCCAAACATTGAGTCCTAAGTTCTTTCTTTGGCACTTGATCTACTTTCTCACAGAAGAGAACACATCCAAGTCAGCTGTAAAAACAAGAGCATGGCAAGCAAGAGACCACTGGAACTGTTAAGCCCATGTCAGGCTTCCTGTTATTTTCCGTATAGCAGTGGATATCAGTCAGGCATTGGTACTTGCTTCTTGTCCCTTCTCCGTCATGGGTGTTGACACATCCGGGTTGAATTTTATTTCATCGTATACTGTGGTAAGTTGAACTCCTCCACCTTGCTGCCTTTTGTTGATATCCAATTGACATAAATGTCCCTGGGACTTGAAAGAAAATAATTTAAGTGGAATATGGTGTTTATCATTAGGAATTGAACTTTGTTTATTATCAGAATACTTTCTGTCAAATGAATCAGCAAAATGTACAGCATTGTTCAATCGGCTGCTGCATACTATAGGAAAGCTTGATAATGTCAGGGTCATGGAGAAGGGGTGTTGCACTCTATGGTACTGCGATAGGGTTAGGGTTAGGGTTAGGGTTACTCTAATGTAGAGTAATATGAGGGAGTGCTCAAGTGGAGGGTAATTTGCTGGGAGTTTCGTGTTGTAAGGCTGCAGAGGTAGTTCTGCATTAACAGGGTATAAAGGGGTCAGGTCTGGAATATCAGGATACTATAGGAAGAGCTCTGATTTTTCATTAGTTCTTGACAATGTGACATTTAATTTTCATAGAATCATAGAATCCATCTAGTATGGAAAGAAGCCATTTGACCCATCAAAACTGCACTGATCGTCCAAAGACCATTCCATCTAGACCCAGCCCCTCCACCCTCTCCCCGTAACTCTGCATTTACCATGGCCAATCCACCTAACCTACACTTCTTTGGACATTGCAAGGCAATTTAGCACAGCCAATCCACCTAAATTGCGCATCTTTCGACTGTGGGAGGAAACCAGAGCACCCGCAGGAAACCCATGCGGACATAGGGAGAATGTGCAAACTCCACACAGTTACGCAAGGCTGGAATTGAACCGGAGTCCCTGGCACTGTGAGACTGCACTATTAACTACTGCTAAGCCAGTAATATACTTTCATTTCAGAAATGCACCTTTTCTCTTTCCTATCCATTGCACCATTAGATTGTTGACATATTAGTGGTCAGAGGCAGCACATTTGCTGAGAGTGTGCTGTTGAGTCTGTGACCAAGGTGAAGACCACACTGCTGCAGAGTTTATTAGCGAACCAATTTTGGGGAGAGTTTTGCAGTCTCAGTATGATGCCTTCAATTTTTATCCTCTTCTCATCAGGTAAATATATTCCTGTGGTTCCTCGTTCGATTAAAACCTGAATTTTCTGATATTAATACAGTTAGATTCACATAATTCTTTCTACTTTTAATTCCAGTTATTAAAACTTAGGACAGAGCAAGTGACAGAAACAGAGAAGATGACTAGCGCAGCCACAGGAACAGAAGCATGAGAGAAATTGAGGAATAAAATAGCAACCAAGGAGAGAGTGAGAGAAATATGAAAAGAACGAGTGAGAATTACACATAAAGTGAGTGAAGCAGATGAAAAAAAAACAAAGGAAAGAAAGGAAAATAAGATGCCAAGACATTGGCAGAATATTGGAGACATTAGAGATATTTTTAATCTAATACTGCAAGCCAGAATCCCATGGAATCAGATGGAAACTGAAAGAACTGCAGACACCGTAAATCAGGAACAAAAGCAGAAGTTGTTGGAAAAGCTCAGCAGGTCTGGCAGCATCTGTGAAGAAAAATCTCTGTTAACGTTTCGGGTCCGGTGACCTTTCCTTCTGCCAGACCTACTGAGCTTTTCCAGCAACTTCTGCTTTCGTTCTTGAATCAGATCGAACATTGCTTTTGCGCCCTGTTCAATATCATCCTGCATGGACTTCAACTGACCACAGCACTGCACCCAATTCAGTCAAGTTTCCATGTTGATGGGACCTACAGCATTAGAGGAACAGAAAATATTTTATTTTTAAAAAACTTCAGTCGGCCAAAATTAAAGAATTGTGGTAGTAACGCTTTAGTCCCCAGTTGGACAGTGAATGGCTGTAGGGATCTTATCGGAAATCTTAATTCTTTAACAGATTGTTCAAGGGTGTAAGTAAATGCAAGAGGTATACATAATATTGCTGATGTCAATTTTTTTATATGAGCAACAATACAACGCCTAAGTTGAAGGCAGAATAGTCATGAAGGAATGAGTGGCCCACTCCTGTTCCTATGTTAGTTCAATCCTTGACCACTACAATGTGGTTATGCAGGCCAATCAAGCAAATCTTGAAAACAGTAATTACATCTCTTGAATAAATCAAAAAACTGCGGATGCTGGAAACCTGAAACAAAAACTGAAAGTTTTGGAGGAACTCAGCAGGTCTGGCAGCATCTGTGGAGAGGAAACAGTGTTAAGTTTTGAGTTAATTCAAAACGTTAACTCCGTTTTCTCTCCACAGACACTGCCAGACTTGCTGAGTTCCTCCATCAATTTCTATTTTTGTATTAAGTCTCTCGAGCTGGCAGACCTTCGTCGGGGAATACTGTCAAAATGTTGATGCAACAATAATATATTGTCTGGAGGAGATGAAGAAAAAGCTGGTAGAATCTGAGCTTAGCAAATAAATGTGCATAAGTAAGGCATTTAATAAGCAATTAATAAGTAATACAATGGAGTCTGATTCAGAATACAGTAGTAGAAGAAGTGAAAGATGTCAGTAAGTCACTTTTGATGCAATGACAACTCCAGGAAAAACAGTAATAATACATTGGAAGAATGTAGTTTGGTCAGGGTATATGAACAAACATTGGGATTATGTTAGTAAACAGAGACAGCAGCAATGCAATATTAATACATTAATGAGAGTAATGACAGAGGACAGTGATAACACAAACAAAAACATTAACAGAACATTCTATATAGATTGAAAGTGGCAATAATACAGTTCCACCCATAGAAGCAATTAGGTAGAGGCACACTAAAGAAAGTTAGTGGCATGCTGGGCAGCATTTTAAAACTACTTCTCAGCAACTTTCAGATTCAGTCTAAGATTCTTCCCCAAGGCTTTTGGGTTCATTATGTCCCAATTCAATACATAGCTTTCACCCTCAAGTTTTAATGTACAATGCGACATGCTGGCACATGCATTTGAGACACGTCTGGTGTTAAATCCCTCCTTTGTCCGAGAAGCCAGGTGCTGGAGGATGGGGTTACAAGTCTTCCTGAAATCACTTATGTTGAGGCAGGCACCCCCCGAAAAACAAAAAATTAAAAAAAAAAAAAAAAAAAAATGCTGTCTTGTGATATGAAGTCATAGTTAGATCAGTAATAAAATATAAATTTGGTGTGAACTACGAGATGAATCTTCACCTTCCAACTCAAACAGGTCCTGATCAGGTAGGTAGAGCAGGGACAAATAGAATTCAGCCCAGAATGGTGTAAGGTAATACACTTGGGATGACGAACAAGTCAAGGAATCACACTATAAATGGCAGGACCCATTGTTTGGTTTATATTTGGTGTATATTCCACATATCTCTGAATGTAGCAGGGCAGGTAGATAAAGTAGTTAAGAAAGTAAATTGAAGAATTGGCTTGAATTGCCAGGGTACTTAATACAAGAGGAAGGAAATTATACTGGAACTGTTTGAAACTGCTGGTTTAGCCACCCTGGACTACTGCATGCATTTCTGATTTTTATATTATAGTAAGGATGTGGTTGAAATCGAGAGGACGCAGAAGAGATTTCCAAGGATGATGCCTCGGCTGGAGGGACTAAGGCATGAGGAAAGATTGGATCGACTGGGGTCATTTTCCTTGGAGCAGAGTGTTTGACAGGAAACCTCATAGATGTGTATAGATTATGAGAAGCAAGAGTATGATGCATAGGAAAGCTTTTTTTTTCCATTAATAGAGGAGTCAGTAACCAGGCACTTGGATTTATCCCATAAGTTAGAAGGCGGGAGGGCACTTGAGGAGAAATTTTTTCACTCAGTGCGAGGAGTCTAGAACCCACTGCCTGAAAGAAAAATGGTAAGAGTTTCTGATTCGACTTAAGCAGTATTCACTTGTGTTAGCCTTGAGGGCTGTGGGAGCAAGAGCTGAAAAAATGCGATTAATGCAGTCAGGTATTTGTTGACCAACATGGACACAATGGGACAAATGGCCTCCTCTGTGTCATAACTTCTATGAATCTGAGAGATATTTGTTCATGTCAGATCCTGTGGAATTGAGCACTGCCCTTGAAAGTGGAATGAACAAAGGCTCTTTTGTCAGTGTTGGCACCCTGCTGGTTCTGTTGTGCGTAAGACAAGCTTGCTTATAGTCAATTGTTCACCAGTATTATCTTACAAGTTATGCACTTTAGCTTTCAATGTACAGAGCCGAAATAATTTGCAATTTATCCAGCAGAATTTGACTAAGAACACTGCTTTGCATATGAGTTTGTACAATAAGTCATCAAAATCCATCTGGAGCAATGCAAAGCAAATGTAACTGCTAAAAGAATAATTCTTAGTTGATTAGCTTATCGAGAGGACAACTGCAAATGCTTAAAGCAAAGTGTTGTTTAAAACTGCATTCACGGCAAGATTACCACAGGTAGACAGTTCTTCAATCTATTCACGCTAAATCCACTATCATTCTTGTTAAAGGGCAGTACGGTGGCTCAGTGGTTAGCACTGCTGCCTCACAGCACCAGGAACCCGGGTTTAATTCCGCCCTTGGATAACTGTCTGTGTGGCATTTGCACATTCTCCCAGTGTCTGCATGGGTTTCCTCCGGGTGCTCCGGTTTCTTCCCACAGTCCAAATATGTGCAAGCTAGGTGGATTCCATGCTAAATTGCCCATAGTGTTCAGGGATGTGTAGATTAGGTGGGTTATACGGGGATGGGTCTGGGCGGGATGCTCGGAGGGTCGGTGTGGACTTGTTGGACTGAAGGGCCTGTTTCCACATTGTAGGGATTCTATGATAAAAGTTGCAGCTGAGATCCATTGTCAAAGTTTGCATTGTGTGTCATGTGGAGAGCCCAGTATCCTTGTCGCTGGGCCAGGAGGCCCGGATTCAAGACCCACCAATCCCAGAGGTGTTTCATTATCTGAGCAGGTTGATTAAAAACAAACACTTAGGGCTCTCGTGGTGCAGTGGTAGGAAGCCCCCTACCTCTGGGCCAGGAGGCCTGCGTTCAATTCCTACTTTCTCCAGAGCAGTGCCACAGAATATCTGCACAGATTGCAGGTCATGAGGGGTGTAGTGGTAGTGTCCCCACTTCTAAACCAGGAGACCTGGGTTCAAGTCCCATCTGATGTAGAGATGCAAGTCATGAAGACCTGGTTTCAAGTCCCACAAGTTCCAGATGGGTGTTGTAACATCCCTTATGACACTGTTTAGCAAAGTAACTAGTGTGTCATTAGGCTGTAGAATGGTATTCAGATTTCTAGCCCTTAATCTGATTTCTTTTTTAATTACAGATCTTCCATGAGGGAATACAGCCAAAACATTCCTCAGAGCACAGAAGCGCAGAATACCAATCGCAATCAGCTCTCTGGTGTGGGTGGATATGCTTTAAAGGGATTTTGACAGAAACTGGGAGAAGCTTATCCATCTACACTCATGCCTGGGCTGCTGATCTCCTCAGTGGAGAAACTGGCTGAAAATGAAATAAGAATTTGAAAAGGAAAAAAGAACAGGAGATCTGAGCTAGTTCGATATCTGTACCATCTTGTACAGTCAACAAGAAACTCAGGTTAAGGACAAAAACCAATAGTGACTGGAAGGAGCAGAAGGATCATTAGGAGACAATTAATAATGTCAAACTTGGGTTTTTATTCTTGTGAAGGTGTTAGAAGAAGCGAGTACTGAGGGAAAAAATGAGCACTGCAGTTTTCAGGCTCTGAAAAAGGATCAGCAGGAAAGAAAAGGGCGAGATTTTCTGACAAGTGACAATCTGCCACTCCTTATTTCTGATGAGAGAATTCAAATCAGGGCTCCTTCAGAAGTGTGCAGCTGTACTTCCATTCTGCTAGTTTTCTTATAGTGCAGAACTGCTGGGGGAAGGCAAACCACTTCCCCTTTCGCAGCGGGTCAGGAAAAATGTAAGTGGGTGGGAAGAGGCATGGAGGCAAATCAGGTCCGGAGCATGAAAGTTTGGGGAGAGAAAAAGAAGGGGGCGGAAGTGGATCATGTCCGAAGGAGGGAATGCATCCAAAGCAAGGACGGGTGGTGTCTGGTCTGGAGTTGGGGAAGGAGGTGAGGCAGGTCCCAAGGGGCAGAAGTAAATCAGGTCTGGACCAGGGAAAGGTGGTAGCACATCAGAGAATGGGCTAGACAGTAAGAGTGGAGGGTAACAAGGTGTAGAGCTGGATGAACACAGCAGACCAAGCAGCGTCACAGGAGCAGGAAGGCTGACGTTTCGGGCCTAGACCCTTCATCAGAAATAGGGGAGGGGCAGGGGGTTCTGAAATAAATAGGGAGAGAGGGGGAGGCGGATAGAAGATGGATAGAGAAGATAGGTGGAGAGGAAACAGACAGGTCAAAGAGGTGGGGATGGAGCCAGTAAAGGTGAGTGTGGGTGGGGAGGTAGGGAGGAGATAGGTCAGTCCAGGGAGGACGGACAGGTCAAGGGGGTGGGATGAGGTTAGTAGGTAGGAGATGGGGGTGCGGCTTGAGGTGGGAGGAGGGGATAGGTGGGAGGAAGAACAGGTTAGGGAGGCGAGGACGAGCTAGGCTGGTTTTGGGATGCGGTGGGGAGGGGGAGGGGAGATTTTGAAGCTTGTGAAGTCCACATTGATACCATTGGGCTGCAGGGTTCCCAAGCGGAATAGGAGTTGCTGTTCCTGCAAACTTGTGGCATCGTTGTGGCACTGCAGGAGGCCCAGGATGGACATGTCGTCTGAGGAATGGGAGGGGGAGTTGAAATAGTTCGCGACTGAGAGGTGCAGTTGTTTATTGCGAACCGAGCGTAGGTGTTCTGCAAAGTGGTCCCCAAGCCTCCGCTTGGTTTGCCCGATGTAGAGGAGGCCACAACGGGTACAGCGGATACAGTATACCACATTAGCAGAGGTGCAGGTGAACATCTGCTTCATGTGGAAAGTCTATTTGGGGCCTGGGATGGGGGTGAGGGAGGTGGTGTGGGGACAGGTGTAGCACTTCCTGCGCTTGCAGGGAAAAATGCCGCGTGTGGTGCGGCTGGAGGGGAGTGTGGAGCGGACAAGGGAGTCACGGAGAGAGTGGTCCCTCCGGAAAGCAGATAAAGGGTGGGGAGGGAAAAATGCCTTTGGTGGTGGGGTGGATTGCAGATGGCGGAAGTGTCGGAGGATGATGCGTTCGATCTGGAGGTTGGTGGGGTGGTACGTGAAGACGATGGGGGATTCTTTTTTGGTTGTATTGCGGGGACGGGGTGTGAGGGATGAGTTGCGGGAAATGTGGGAGACACGGTTGAGGGCGTTCTCGACCACTGAGGGGGCATGTTGCGGCCCTTGAAAAACAAAGGACATCTGAGATGTACGGGAGTGGAATGCCTCATCCTGGGAGCAGATGCGGCGGAGGCGAAGGAATTGGGAATAGGGGATAGCATTTTTGCAGGAAGGTGGGTGGGAGGAGGTGTTTTCTAGGTAGCTGTGGGAGTCGGTGGTCTTGAAATGGATATCGGTTTCTAGGCGGTTGCCCGAGATGGAGACAGAGGTCCAGGAAGGTGAGAGAGGTATTAGAGATGGTCCAGGTGAACTTAAGGTTGGGGTGGAAGGTGTTGGTGAAGTGGATGAACTGTTTGAGCTCCTCGTGGGAGCATGAGGCGGCACCGATCCAGTCATCAATGTAACGGAGGAAGTGGGGTTTAGGGCCAGTGTAGGTACGGAAGAGGGATTGTTCCACGTAACCGACAAGTCAAGTTAGGATTTGGGAATTTGTAAATAGTTTGGGGAGAGGTGTAGTTGAGAGTACGCGAGTTAAATATGGGGTTAGCAGTTAATACTCTCACTTATTTAGCTTCAGCGAACCCTCCAAATTTTCCGGTTTAAATTGCTACTTTCAGAGGGTTCCAAGTGTAGGGGAATTACCCAGCGGAATCTCCAATTTTTGGGACAATTCCTTGAGTGTTTGCAGTGATGAGAATCCCACAGGGTCCCCATGCACACCTCCCATCTATGCTGGAAAAACAACTGTTTGGACAACAGTAAGTCTAGGCCAGAGTGACAATAAAGAGACCAGTTCTTTACGAGGATCAAGAGATTAAAGTTCAGAATGCAACTCAACACATCAATATAACAAAAAGAGACTGGAAAAGTTGGAAGTTACGTGTTGGTGATCAGATAATGTTGGTATGAAGTCTGAGATGAGTGTGTGAAGGCTCCCCACCTATGTCCAGGTCCTATGATAAAAGGGGTACACCAGGCCCCAACATCCGGGGGTCTGGGGACTGCTGTTCTCAAGTCAGGGGCATGTCTGCTGTGCTTATAAATGGGGTTGGGGACCCAGGTCAAGAGTGGCACCTGTGCCTGTAATTTCAGTTTCTGCCCCTGCCTATATTCCGATCATCCTTCAAGATGAGAGGAACATATGAAAAAGAGAAAGTAAATTAGGAAAGCAATAGCTTTGTGTTATTACTAGAAACCACAGCCCCTGAACAACCCCCAAATGGAGGGGCTTTGGAGTAGTTGCATGATGCATAACTAATATAGAACATCCATAGCATAGGGGTGTCACGGGGACTCTGTGTTCAGCATTGCTGCCACACAGCGCCAGAGACCTGGGTTCAATTCCACCCTCAGACAAATGTCTGTGTGGGTTTCCTCAGGGTGCTCAGGTTTCATCCCACAGTCCAGAGATGTGCAAGTTAAGTGGATTGGCCAGGCTACATTGCCCATAGCGTCCAGGGATGTGCACGCTAGGTGGATTAGCCATGGCAAATGCAGTGTTGCAGGGATAGGGTGGGGGTGTTGAGTCTGGGTCGATGCTGTTGGTGGGGTGGGGGGAGGGTCAGTATGGATCGAATGGCCTGCTTTCAGTCTGTAGGGATTCTGTATCTATTTAATTCTATATATCTGTAACTAAATGTTTATATTACTGTATTTGAAATGGGTAAGCAACTTGCAGCTTTAAGCAATGTTGCTTTTCCCCATTAAACAGTCAAAAGAAGTTAATTGCTAGCCTAGAGAAAGCTGTAGAGAATGAGAGCAATAGACCCAACACAGCTTTGCTGCTTATACTAACCTGGTCCCTGGCATTGCTCGATCTCTTGATGTCAGCATACAGTGCTGGTTCACTTGTCCCCTCAGTATTAGGAGCTTTAAATAAAAATAATTGCTGTTGGAATTAAGTCTGGCATATCTATTTGTAAAATAAAAATAAATTCCCTCAAATTTTCTAATGTCATTCCTTTGCTAAAGGCAACCTTTATCGAAAAGCACAGCAGGGGAGCCTTTTTTGAGTAAAAGGCAAGACAGGAGTGTTTTTTTTAAAGCAATGCAGCGAACATATAATAAGGTTTTGGAGTAGATTTGACATATAATATTGGCCTAATCTGCCTTTGCTCTCATTGAAAATGTCTAAAATGTTGATATGCCACCTCAAGATCCCATCCAGTAATACTGGCATGTATTCCCACTTATTCACTGTCATCTGATGGATAGTGTGCAGTTATACTTGTTTAGTTATATGCTTCTATGGTGATTGTGTATTTTGGCTATTGTTAAAGTGAGGGTCCAAAGCTTGTCCACATGTAAAAAAAAATGAACACTTGAGAGGTTTTAAAGTCTTCCATTAATTAAAATAAAGCAAAATTTTAAGTGGTTAAATTGAATACGTTTTTGAAATGATAATTCTACTGAAAAGCAAAAATTTCCATTATCCCAGAGGGCCATAATCTGAACTCTAGTTAGAAATAGATGACTGACAGTGAATTTAACCTGAAGGTCACCACACCTCAGGTAAGGGGCAGGCTTGAAAATGTAGGGCTTTCATTGTGGCCTCAGCCTCGTATGGGAATTTAACTCACTCTATTGACATCACTCCACATTACAAACCAACCAGCCAGCTGAGCTAACCAACTCCCTAATTGCTCTAGTAATGCTGCTTGGCTGCCCCAAGTTGGGAGGAATAATATGCTCAAGACATTGGTTTCCTGGGAGTACTTTTCATGGGAGGAATATTGATTGGCCTCAGTACACATTGCATCTCCATTAGCCACCCCCCACCCCCTGAAAGAAGACGACAGAAACACAGATATAGAGATTTCCAAGATTGGCAGTTCATTCAGACAAATTTCACAAGCACAGTGGTATGCAACATTCGAGAAAGAGTTAATGGAGTATTTTGAAGAGATAAAGCCTCAAAGTAAGTATTGCAAGACAGCACCAGTGTACAAATAAATAGGAGAGAAGATTTAATATACTGAAAACCAATATTTTCTCATCTCAAAGTTGGCACTGTAGCGGAGAAATCTGGAGTTATTCAAGTCCTAGAAAAGAATAATTTAGGATTTGATGACAATGTGCTGAACCTTCTATCAATAAAATTTCATTCTAATTATAGTGGCAAAATAGAACAAATCTGTCAAACCATTAGCCTTCCTGCTCCTATGATGCTGCTTGGCCTGCTGTGTTCATCCAGCTCTACACCTTGTTATCTCAGATTCTCCAGCATCTGCAGTTCCTACTATCTCTCTCAAACCATTTCTATCAATCAGTGTTCATCCTCTAGTTGAATGTAATTCTTTTTCACAGTGTCATTGGTATGTAGAATTTGTCAGCCCAGAAAGCAGGGCAGTCCACATCATTGAGTTAATTTAAGACCAAGTTAGACAGATTTGTGATCAACAAGGAAGCCAAAGATTATAGGAATGTAAAGCTGAGACCACAGTCAAACCAATCAATTGGTGGACAGTCTTCATGGACTGAATAGCCTACTCCAGTTTCAAACTTCAATGTTACCATGAGGAGCATTCTTAATCCCACGTTTGATCTATTGCTGTATCTCTTTGCTCTTTTTTTCCCTCATTTAATCATCTTTCTATCAAATTCTTAAAGCTGACGTGTTCAGTTTCTTTGCTGTCAATGAATCGCCAGGATTCTATGCCTACTTACATCAAGCCACATAGAGCTAGGTGCCTAAACAGAATTACTCAGATGCAACTCCCTTGATGACATTCACCTCCATGGTCTTTGCTTCACTCACTTAATAATTTCAAATGTTGCATTAGCAAGGATTACACTAATCAATTGCAACAGGATGGGCCAGTAGATGGGGCAAACAAGTAGCAGTTGGCATTTAATAGACAATTATGCAAGGTAATACATTTTAACAGAAGAGATAGGGAGAGGCAGAGGCAATGTAGCTTTAATGTCAGAGTTCTAAAGAGTACAGGATCAGAGGAACCGGAGGGTGCATGTGCACCAAAACGTGCAGGTTAAAGAACATAATAAGAGCGGTTAGCAATCCACATGGAAAAAAAGGATTTGTTCTCCTTGGAGCAAAGTTCTTTCACTGCTGAAGGGTGTCTCATTGACCTTTCATTCAAAACTTACAGATTTGACACTCAAGTGATCTTGACATCAGGGTCCCAAAACTAGAACAAATTCATGCCAAATGTAATTCCAGTCTTTTTATATTTTACACTACAACGGGTCAAACCAGTCATGGCCTTAATCAATTTGTGTACAACAATCAGTCTCATGTTTCAAATGGGCTCTGTTGTTAGGGACTGATCCCAGCTTAAGAGTTTTAGAATCTATTTATTCTATACAATCAGTGTATAGCTTGAACAGCACTAATTAAACCTTTTGAGATTATTGAATCAATCTTCTCATTAAATCAATAGCCATTTGCTTTGATACAATGTCACACTAAAGGTTGACTTGCCATGTGTGTCAGACTTTGACATTTACCTGAAATTTGGATAGTGCAGGATCAGGTATCAATTTCCATTCTGGGACTCGATTTCAAATCCAGTCCACCTAGATTAAGTACTGAAGTATGGTAAGAGACAATCCTTCACTTCTAGGACATGAAATTCTGCTCAGGGAGTCGTGTAGTCTCACTCCACCAGTGCCTTACCAGCAGTCAACCAAAACCAGATGAAAACTAAAGCCAGAGATCCAAATTTGAATGAATATAATGACTCAATTATGACAGAAGCCTATGACCCAGTTTGCAGTCATTAGCCATTGGAATTAAACTGTGACCGATGAAGATAACCAATTAAGAGTACCTGCCTTCACTGAATTTGGAATGTTTCTTCTTCTTCTGCACATAGAATATTACAAGCAGGACACAGATAAATATGGTAATTGCCGCAATTATTAGGCCAATGTGGAGTGGTTCGACGACTTCTTTTTTCTCCTGGCCTGAAAAGATTATAATATTTTCACTGTGATATTACATTTATGAAAACTCAAATGGTAAATAAATCTACTTTCAACAATAAAATTAAAAACTTTCATTTTCTAAGTTTTCTAAGAGAACATAGATCCTTGAATACTGCACCCTAAAAGAATAACTTGATAACTAATCATGGGGAATAAGAGTAATTGAAGAAAGTATCAACACAATTAAAAAAAACATTTATTTCTAGCATCAAGCGTGAAAATTACTCGCGAATTCCAAAATCCAAAATTGTTAAAGCAAGGTGAAATAATTTAGTTGCTTGAAATCTGAAATAGAAGATACTGGAAAACCTGAACAGTTCAGTAGGATCCATAGGGAATGAAGACTGGGTGTTACGAAAAGTGGGAGAATGCACTGTTTTCTTGCCCTACACTTCCAGCTAAAACATTGGTCAAAAATTGACCAAAGGGAAAAAGTAATGTCCTGCAGCGACAACATGCTGCAAAATGGCATCAATGAGGTTCAGACTCTGACTTTGATTGTTCAATGGGAGGAATCCTGTTCTGGAGAGCTGTTGGCCAATCCAATTGGTCAAAACCTGTAGCAGTCCTAGCAGTGCCAGAACTGAGTAGTGACTGTTACACAATTGAGAAGGAGGCCATTCAGCCCATCGAGTTTGCTCCACCATTCAAGTGAGATCGGGGCTGATGCACCATGATTCTCACTCAAAAAAAAACTTAAAATGGAAAAATTCCATCCATGAGTTTTTTTCCCCTTTTCACAGAATCCCTACAGTGTGGAAGCAGGCCATTTGGACCATCGATTCTACAACACCTTTTGAAAGGGCACCTCACCCAGACCCACACCCACACCCCTATTCCCAAAGCTCATCCACCGAGCCTGCAAACCCCAGGATACAATGGGCAATTTACAATGGCCAATCCACCAAACCTGCACATCTTTCGACTTTGGGAGGAAAAAGAGCACATGGAGAAATCCTACTCAGGCACAGGGAGAATGTGCAAACTCTACACAGACAGTCACCCAAGGCTGGAATTGAACGTGGGTCCCTGGTGCTGTAAGGCAGCAATGCTAACTACTGAGCCACCACGCCACCCAATTTATGCTTTGATTTAAAGATTACAAATCCTAAATCTCTGTTTTTAACTCACAAGCATGAGGGGTATCATCCTCTCACATCGTGCACTCCCTATCCCAGCACTATTTAAAGCCTTCAAGCAATTTCAGGTTAGTTGCTTATCATTTTCTCCCGGCTCTTGTGGTGGTACTGGATTGCTGGAGTTCAGAAAGGTTAGTGAAGGCAGGGAGTGGTACTGGGTGTTGGTTGCTACAGGGTGGCTGAGTGTTCCACTCGATCTCAATCATCGATTCTATATTTGCAACTTATCGAAGGCTGCAGCAACTCCAGAGAGAGACAGAGGCAGAGGCAGAAAAAAGGCATCAAAGAATTCCAGCTACTTGGATTAGGGAGGATGATGGCAGAAGGCCTTACCCACCAGGCTTCTTAGGGAAATATTTTAGGAACAGAATAGCATGTTGCCGCCAAACAAAGAAAGAGTCCATGGTCACAAAATAGTGCCACTTGAACAAAACTTACAGCCACAGTGAGGGAGTCAGTGGTTGTCAAGGTGAATGAGACCCTGACATTTTTGCTAACACATTCTTCCAGGCTGGGTAGCTGATGTAGCCAACATCTCAGTGTCGTTCCTTGCTGAGATCAGAAGAACGTAATTCATTGACCTCGCTGAGGGAGAGAGAAGCAAAAAGGAGGACATATGGTTTTGCAAAGGACCATCAGCTACACGTGGCACTGTGGAGCCTGCGAATCAATGTTGAGATGTAGAAAAACCTATGATATTTTGAGGTGACAGTGTCCAACACTTCATGCTGGTGAATGACTGTTGTTTCTTAACAGTCACAATTGTTTCATTTTGTGTCAGCACACTGTTCCAGGGATCTCAATTAAATTGTTCCCAGACTCTCTCACCACCAACTCACAACGAAAATGTTTATTCAGCAACAAGGGCAATGGCCAGCAGTCTCATAATGAAAGCCTTGTGTGGAGACAGCAGGGTCACTGAAAGTGCTAAAGTAACCGTTATGCTGTATTGCTCCAGTGAACTGTCAGAATGCTTACATCACTGAAAGCCAGCATTTTGCTTACTGAGGCAAAGGCAGCAAGACATGGGCAATATCCACGGGCTGAAAAGCGACAAGTAACATTCACACCTCACATGTGCTTAGCAACAACGACCTCCAGCAAGACAGAATCTAATATTCAATGGTATTGCAATTGTTGCATCCCACATGATCCATATTCTAGGGGTTATCATTGACCAGAAACTAAAGTGGACCTGTCATATAAGTACTGTGACCACCAGAGCAGGTGAGAGACTAGAAATCAACAGCAAGTGACTTCAGACCCACCACAATGTGTGATACTTCCTCCTGGTTGTACAGAGCCCTGTGACATCCTGGATTCAGCAACAATTGGCAAATTGTGAGATGTTAGTGACGTCAGTTTCTCCACCCTGGAAGACTGTGTTGCCAAAAGAAATTCAGGGCTTCATCTACCTTGAAAGGCACTGACATTCTCACTGTAGCTGTAGGTATTGTCAAAGGGAGTGGCAAGTCCAGTTCAGTTTCTGGTCAATGGTAACCCCAAAGATGTTGAAAGTGTGAGATTCAGTGATGGTAACCATTGGATGTCAAGGGGCAATGGTTAGATTGTCTCTTATTGGAGATGGTCATTGCCTGGCATTTGTGTGGCTCAAACGTTACTTGCCACTTCTCAGCCCAAGCTGGATATTGTCCAGATCTTGCTGCATTTGAACATGGTCTGCTTCTCATCAGTGGACAGGAAGTGTGCTGAGCATTATGCAATCATCAGCAAACATCCCCCAATTCTGACCTTATGATGGAGGGAAGATCATTGGTGAAGCAGCTGAAGATGGTTGGGTTTAAGACATTGATAACACAGTGTGGAGCTGGAGGGACACACCAGGCCAGGCACCGTCAGAGGAGCAGAAAAGTTAACATTTCGGGTCAGGACCATTGTTCTGAAAAAGGGTCCCAAACCGAAACGTCAGGTTTCCTGCTCTTCTGATGCTGCTGGCCTGCTGTGTTCCTCCAGCTCCACACTGTTATCTCTGACAACAGCATCTGCAGTTCTTGCTATCTCTGGGCTTAAGACACTACCTCGAGGAGCTCCTTCAGAGATGCCCTGGAACTGAGATGACTGGCATCCGTCAACTACAACCATCTTTCCATGGGTCAGGTATGACTCCAAACAGTGGAGATTTTGCCCCCTACTACCCACTGATTCCAGTTTTGCTCAGATGATGCCACACTCAGTCAAATGCAGCCTTGATGTCAAGGGCTGTCACTTCACCTCACCTCTGGAATTCAGCTCTTTCGTCCATGTTTAAGCCAAGGCTGGAGCTGAGTGACCCTGGTGGAACCGAAACTGGGTGTCACTGAGGACGTTATTGCTGAGCAGGTGCTGATTGATAGTACTGTTCCATCACTTTACTGATGGAGAGTAATGATGGGGTGGTAATTGACTGTGTTGGATTTATCCAGCTTTTTATGTACAAGATATAAACGTGGGCCATTTTTCACATTGTTGGGTAGATGCCAGTGTTATAACTGTACCGGAAGCGCTTGACAGAGGAAATAACAAGGTTTAGATGCACAAGTCTTCAGTCCTAACGCCAGAAAGAAAGGGCCGGCTGCTTTTGCAGTGTCTTGTGTCTCCAACCATTTCTTAATATCACAGAGTGAATCAAATTGGCTGAAGACTGGTATCTACAATACTGGGGACCACTGGAAGAGGCCGAGATTAATTATCCACTCGGCACTTCTGGCTGACGATTGCTGCGAACCAATCAGTAGTCCCAACTTGAATCTTCAGTGGGATAACTGTAGTCCAGCTCATTCTGTTCCTGCACTTTAGAACTGTACACTGGGTTTTATAAGGAGCCCTCCAGTATTGCTCAGAGTTATCATTTATAGCAGCCTCCTACCACCCTGACTCCTTTCATATATATGTAATTCAAATGTTATCCAGATGGCACAGTCATTAATGAAGCCATTGTCATGACTGTGTAATTATAATGTCATACATTTTATGAAGGCTAATTTGACAATTTAAATAATAGATGCAGTGTATAATATCACTGCCAGGAAACACATGACTCTCCCTGTTAAGGCGCTACAAGCCAAAAGCAGACAGACTGGTTTATTATCTCAGTGACAACGACAAAAGGAGCCATTTATAATTAGATTACCCCTTTAGACAGCACAATGGATTTTCAAAGATGTGAGAATCTAAGGCTTTTGAGGCAACCAGCAGAGAATTGAAAAACTCCCATTGGGAATCCCTGCATTGCTGACTGAATCACAGGAATTGTGAGGAGGCCATCTGGCCCTTGGTAACTGCACTCAAAACGCTGACATTGTTTCACAAAACAGTGACTCAAAAGGTTAACATGCTATCCATTTTAATTTTGGAACTGTACAAATCCGTCAGACTCCATTGTAAAATCAGAACTCTCAGGAACATCTCAGAGACAACATCCTCAGACAGGAGAGTGAACCTGTCATCCTTACCTGGTCTGGTAGACCATGTGATTGACTCTTGACTACCTTCTGAAGTGGACAATCAAGTCAGTCAATTGCAAGGGATGAGCAACAAATAGAGTCATAGATTTATACAGTACGGAAACAGACCCTTCGGTCCAACTCGTCCGTGTTGACCAGATATCCTACATTAATCTAGTCCCATTTGCCAGCATTTGGCACATATCCCTCTGAACCCTTCCTATTCATATATCCATCCGCATGCCTTTTAAATGTTGTAATTGTACCAGACACCATCACTTCCTTTGGCAGGTCATTCCATTCAAGCACCACCCTCTGCGTGAAAAAGTTGCCCCTCACGTTCCTTTAAAATCTTTCCACTCTCACCTTAAACCTATGCCCTCTAGTTGTGGACTCCCCTACCCTGGGAAAAAAAAAAAGACCTTGGCTATTCACTGTCTCCAAGGCCCTCGTGATTTTATAAACTTTTATAAAGGTCACCCCTCAGCCTCCGACGTTCCAGGGAAAGCGGCCCCAGACTCTCCCGATTGCTCAAACCCTCCATACCTGGCAGCATCCTTTTTCCGGCACTGCTCATGTCCCATAAATGAACGAAGAGGAGGGAAACACATAACTACTAAGGAACAAGAACCCTATCTCCCTCAAAGCCTGCTCTACCTATGGAGTCCACCTGTCCAGGCAACCTCCAAATCATATTTTATCTATACCCATGTTAAAGATTTGTAACTGTATTTTATCAATAACTATTTTTATTTAATAACTTTCAGCAATAATTGTGTGATAAACTAACAATAACTCTAGTTTGAAGTTAAAGCTTTGTTACTGACCATTTTTTAAAACCCAGAACACTCAAAAAGCTGAAAAGCAAGTATACAAACTAGATGAATCCCAGTTCACTTCATGTGTGTATAATTTAAACTACCAAGCCTGACTCATCTGCAGATGGGGCAAAATGGAAAGAGGTGACAAACTAACTGCGGAAGATTTATGCTTGGGTTCTGCCAACGCTTCTACACAGGAAGCTGAGACTTGATAACACTGAACTGTTAGTTAGCCGCTGAACCATATATCTGCAAGTGTCCTTTAAGATGAAAGAAATAGCACAAACCTTGCTTGCAGTGCGGTTCAAGTGTGATCATGTATGTAGCCTCACTAACAGGGTTTCTCACTGTGCAGTTATAGGCTCTGTTGGTAGAGTTTGGGTAAACGAACATTTGCAGCCTTCTGCCATCGTTGGTCACACTGTGCAATTTGTCAATTCCAACCTCCTCTCCTCCTGTCCACCAGCTGTAGGTTAAGTTACTGCCATTTTCCGCTGAACATTGCAGGCTAATATTACAGGTCTCACTGAAGGGCACATTGGTGACCTCTATCGTTGGTATTGATACAGGCTCTGTTAAGGAAAAAATGTAAAATTAACAATTGTAGAATTGCAATATATAACCAGGTGCTGAAGCATTTTGGAGAGTGCAATTCCCAGTTACCATAGTGCCATAGTTTGATCATCTTGACAGGGTCAGTGAAAAATTTCCTCTGCTTTCTTTCTAAAGATGACTTAAGTTTCGTATGCCTTTCAATCATAATACAGGATAGGCTCAAGAGATTGGCTAAAGTTAATGCAAAATACTGCAGATGCTTGAAATCTGAAACTAACACAGAGACTGATAGAGAAACTCATCAGGTCTGGTATTACCTGTGGAAAGAGAATCAGAGTTAAATGTTTCAAGTCCGGTATGACTCTTCTTCAGAACCCTAATGTTCGTTAAAAAAAAAAAAAGGATGTACCACACTGAAAATGTTAACCCTATTTCTCTCTCCACTCATGCTGACAGATTTACTGAGGTTTCTCTAGCACTTACTGTATTCGTTTCAATAGATTGTTTTAGCCCGTGTCATTCAGTGTGGAATACCACTTTAAAAGTATGCATCAGAAACTGGATGTTCCTGATTCCTTCAGCAGCATCACAATGTGGGTGTTGGAAACAGTCACTTCAGGAGATGGAAGAGTCTACAGATTTCAGCAAGAACTAAGCAACGTTCTACACTGGACAGGTTCGCAGACTCACTGAAGACTGGGATCTCTAATACAGGAGACTTCAGGAATGAGCAATAAATGCTGGTCTTTCCAGCAAAGGCTGCATCCCATGAAAGACTAAAATGAATTGGTTCACAGCCCTCATCATGCAGCCAAGAAACACTTGGAACGTATCTTCCCCATCCACCTTAGCAGTGTTCCAGGATGAGCACTATATTTTCCTCAAGACCAAAGACAAGCAATAAATGTCCATTTGGAATCCCTACAGCATGGAAGCAGGCCATGTGGCCCATTGAGTCCACATCGAGCCTCTAAACAGCAGCCCACCCAGACCCAACCCCTGCCCTATCCCATCCCTGAAACCCTGCATTTCCCATGGCTCATCCACTTGACCTGCACATCCCAAGACACTATGGGCAATTTAGCATGGTCAATCCACCTAACCTGCACATCGTTGGACTGTAGGAGGAAACCAGAGCACCCAGAGGAAACCCATGCTGACACAGGGAGTATGTGCAAACTCCACACAGACTGTCACCCAAGACTGGGGTCAAACCTGGATCTCTGGTGCAGTGAGCCAGCAATGCTGACCACTGAGCCACCATGCCGCCCCCACAATGATGAATGAAAGCCTCTGCCTTTCCACAATGATAAGTGGATTAAGTATATCAGGAATTAATTAAAAAGAGCATCTCTCTTTGCATTGCACATTGTACAGCATTCCTTGATATCTTGCCGATTTACATTTTCTTTTATTCATGACAATGACAACTTGCATTTATATAACACCTTTAAATGCAGTGAACCACCCAAGTGCTCTATAGAAAGTGCTTTCTTTATAGAGAAAATTTTAGACTTTAATTTGATTAACTGGAACCAAAAACTGGCATGACAGCATAATGTTTGGAATGGTTGTCCAAAAGCCTTAGTCAGTGACCAGCTCAAATAAATGTAGAATAAATAAGTGGGCATTAGTCATTAGTACTCAGCACTTTGAAATGACTGCATTGTCATAACAAATCATTTGATTCATGGACACTCTTTAGGGAAAGAAATGTACCGTCATTTTCTGGTCTACCTTTGTGTGACTGAGGACCTACACAGTTTCTTTGACTCAACTGCCATCAGAAATGACCACTCAGTTATATTCCAGAAAGTGATCTAGCCAAGGCCATTTAACTTCAGGTAACAAAATGCTGGCCTTGCCAGCACACTCCTCCTATAATTGAAAGAAACGGCAAGTTTTATGGAGGGTCATAAAGCATCTGCCTCATTTAGTTGTAAAAGTTATATCGGTAACCGTACATGAATTATTTAAAGTAAAGATACCATACACTCGCAGTTCCATCACTTCTACATGAACATTCTGTTCTGATCTTGCATTAACTTCATACCAGCCTTGGTCACTTTTTGTCAGGCTCTGTATTTCCAGACTGTAGTCGGTAAGGTTTAATCGGATCCTTTGTCCAAACTCATTGCTGCATTTTTCTGGATTGTTCAGGGCTTTTGTACAGATTTGAATCTTTTTCCCAGCGGATGAGTTTCTGAAGTCCCAAGTAAGTATCAAAGGGTCTGCCCATGGAATATGCACCGGTAAAGAAAAGGACCGTCCTAGGCTTCCATTCAGCAAGCGTGAAGAGGCTAGATTCCCATCAGCCAGTCCGAGACCTAGGGAGCAGAAAAATAACAAACTATAAGGGTCTTTATTTTTGGTTAGTTTGTATTTATCACCTTGCTACACATTGTCCATTATTGCAATTCCAAAACGGATGTTGAATGTATCCTCCAGTAGCTTAAGTGCGAAGCATTTTGTAGAGCCCCTTCATGACGAAGCGGATGCTGTTGACAAGATCCCACAGATGTTGCTCCTCCCCACGACTTTTATATCAAGACGAAGTCAGTCAGAAGCTTATCTGTTCCCTGGTTAAGTTTATTCACCAGCTCAACTCAGATGCACAAGTGCCGATATAGCATCAATCAGAAGCCTCGCTCTGAAGTCAGATAAATCTTGTGTGAGTTTCACTCATAATCGCTGTACTTCAATCATCAACCCACAGCAAAGCCATAAGCAGGGAATATGGATAATTTACAATTAAATAGCGTCTTTCACAATCATCTAATGCACTTTACAGTCAGTAAAGTATTCTGTAAGCATAGTCACCCTGTTATGTAGGAAATACAGCATGTCTGTTTCCATACATAAAACCTTCCACAAACAATGAGATGACAACCAAACAATGAATTTAATGATGTAGGTTGAAGGAAAATATTGGTTGAGATAGAAAGGAAAATTCTGCTGCTCCCCATCCAAATAGCCAAGAACATCTTTCACAACTATCCAAGGGAGCAGACTTCTTAAAATTCATTAATGGGATAAGGGCATCACTGGCTAGGCAGCATTTTTTGCCCTGAGGGCAGTTCGGAGTCAAACACATTGCTGTGGGTCTGGAGTCACATGTAAGCCAGACAGGGTAAGGACAGCAGTTTTCTTCCCTAAAGGACGTTTGCGAACCAGGTGTTTTTCTGACAATGGATTCATGGTCATCATTAGCTTCTTAATTCCAGATATTTTATTGAATTCAAATTACACCATCTGCCGTAGCGGGATTCAAATCTGGGTCTCTGGGTTAACAGTTCAGCGATAATACCACTAGGCCGTCACCTCCCCAAGCAGGGCCTGAGTTTAACGAGTAAAACGAAGTCACCATAATCCCAGCATGCCATTAGCTACCTGAATCCAGACAGTCCGAATAGCCAAAGGCAGGTGAAGGCAGTTTGATCTAGGAATCAGGTACATTCCACCTCCAGGAAGTTTGTCTCACCAAAGCCTCGAAATTGGATGCCAAACCCTGACCATTCCAAACTTCCCATGACCTACTCTATGAGAGTTTTGGCCTCAATCCAAGGACTATAATTTCTTGACAGAGGCCTCCAAACCCAGACTTTGTTCCACTCCACCCCACCCCACACCCAATCCCCATCTGATCTCTGTACAAACCCTTTCAGGTTTTATCCTCAAACACCCCTCCCTCAGCTACCCCACCACCCTCAGAGGCCTCTCTCCTTTGCTACCCTCCTGCCCTTGGTGCCAAAGACCTGCATGCCCATTGGCTGATCAATCTCTCCTGATCCTACTGACTATGATAGCAAAACTGAAACATGTTCATCAGCCAAAAGAAAAATCAAAGAACTGTGGCTGCTGGAAATTGGAAACAGAAACAAGCTGCTAGAGAAACTCAGCAAGTCTGACACCATCTATGGAAAGAAAGTAGAGTTAATGTTTCAGATCCAGTGACCTTTCTTCATCAGATCCTGCGCTAACTTATTCCAGTTTCCCATCCTCAATCCAGTCCCTCCCTCACCTCTGCATCTGAAGAACAAAAAACTAGCCCATTGTATTCAATCTTGACACCTCATTTTAGACAAAATCTTACAGCACAGGAGAAAGGCATTGTGTCAGCTACAGCTCTTTTAAAACATTATCCAATTACTCCCACTCCGAACCCATAGTCTAGCAAATTTCCCAGTTTCTTTTTACAGTTTTTTTCTTTTTCCTAATCCCTTAACTAACCTGGATGGCTGGTTGAAAGACTTGGAAGTATGTCCTTACGTGATTATCAGTGGACATTTAAGATAGTTTTTGATGGCTTCATGCCTTCCCCAAAGCTAGGACACATTCAACTTCACGTTCAAGTGTAAATTAGGTTTTGTGGAAATAAATATTGGGAAGGATGTGAAATGTGCTGCTTTTATTTGCTAAACTACACTTTGCATAGAGTCAAGTTTATTCCCAGATGACTGCCAATCCAAAACCCTAGTGTTGTATCTCGGTGGTTAATTTGAAAACTACTTAAAAATAACCTCAGTTTATCTGTTGATCTCTGAGCTCTGTATTACTTGTATTTCCATCCAGGTTTGCATGAAAAACGAAATTTCTTTTGGAAGGATCATTGGATGCTAATTCAGTTTGTAGCACTGCAAAGTCCCACTGGAAACAGACTTCCAGTCATAGAAACATCCTTCTGTCATCACCCTAGCTTCCTGTCTTTCAGCTAATTTTCATCTGAGTTTGCCTTGGACCTCATGGGCTGTTACTATCTTGACCAATCTATCTTATCAAAAGCCTTACTAACTTCTACATAGGCCCCACATCACCCCCACATTACCCTCACCCACACTACGAGTTCTCAAAACGTTTGATCAAACTTCTCAAACACTATCTTCCCTTGACAAATCAATGCTCCCCGATTAATGCGTGTCCATAAAAATGCAGATGTATTGTGTCCCTCAGGAATCTTTCTAATAACTTCCCTACCACTAAAGATGGACTGACGGGCCCGATCTTGATTTATCCCTTCCTCTTTTTAATAATTGGACAACGTTAGCAGTCTTCCAGTCCTCTGGCATATCATCTATCTCCCAAGAGGATTTGAAAGTTGGTACCAGGGCCATTTATATATCCACTTTTGTCTTCCACAACTGGCTGAGATACATTCTCATTCAGGCCTGCAAATTTTTCCACTCTAGGTCTGCCCAACCCGCCAGGACCATCTCTCTCTGTATTTCTTCTAATATTTCACAGTCCTCCGCCCTGATATCAATACTTTTTTGTCCCAGGATGATAAAAGGAGATAGAAGTCAAAATAAAGAAAAAAAAAAAAAGTGTGCTTATGACAAACATCAAGTAGAAAATAAAATTAAGAACCAAGAGGAATATCAAAGATTCACAGGGGAGACGTTTGGCATGCTGGAGGACTGGAGTGTGGCTAATGTTGTGCCTTTATTTAAGGGAGGTTCCAACGAGAAGCCTGGGAACTATAGGCCTGTGAGCCTGACATCGGTGGTGGATAAGTTGTTGGAGGTAATTCTGAAAAGTAGGATTTACATGCATTTGGAGAAGCAAGGATTGATTAGGGATAGTCAGCACAGTTTTGTGCAAGGGAAATAGTGTCTCAAACCTGTCTGAGTTTTTTGAGGAAGTAACTAAAAAGATTGAGGGGGGCAGAGGGGCAGATGTTGTTAATATGGATTTTAGTAAAGCCTTTGACAAGGTTTCAAATGGCAAAGTAATTAGTAAAGTTAGATCACATGGGATTCAGGGTGAGCTTGCCAATGGGATACAAAATTGGTTTGATGGTGGGAGACAGAGGGTGGCGGAAGAGGGTTGTTTTTTGGACTGGGGGCCTGTGACCAGCAGTGTTCCACAGGGATCAGTACTGGGTCCACTTTTGTTTATCATTTATGTACACTATTTGGATGAGAATACAGGAAACACGCTATGACACCAAAGTAATCTTTCAATCTTCCCTAGGCCTGTGGGAGGCACCAGCAAGCTCGAAAATTGCAAACATTGCTACCTTGTTTTAGCAAGGTTATAAGGATAAGCCCAGCTATTACAAACCAGTCAATTTAATTTAGTTGGTAGGGATGCTTCAAGAAACAATTATTCAGAACAGATTGAGCAATTACATAGAAAAGGGGTATTGATTAGGAAAAGATTTCTAAAGAGCAAACATTTAACTAGCTTGCTGGAGTGGTAACAGAAAGGATTAATGAGGCTAAAGCTGTTGATGTGGTGAACATGGTGATGTTGACTGGATACTATTTAGGCTGGATGGAGGTTTCTAGTGGAGTTCAATAGGGGTCAGTATTGGGACCCTTGCTTTTCCTCCTATTTACCTAGATCTTGGTATGCAGAGGGTAACTTCAAAGTTTGCAGATATCACAAAAAAACTTGTAAACCTGTGAGGAGTAGTGTCAAACTTCAGAAGGGTAGACAAATTGGTGGAATGGGCAGACAACTAGCAAATGAGATTCAGCGCAGAAAAGCATGAGGTGACTTTGAAAGACAACATAAATAAACAGATGGTACAATTCTAAAGGAGGTGCAGGATGAAGCGACTGGGGTGTATATGTGCACAGGTCTCTGAAAGTGGCAGTACAGGTAAAGAGAGAATTAAGTAAAGCTACAAAAACAAGAACTGTGGCTGTTGGAAATCAGAAATTGCTGGAAAAAACACAGCAGGTCTGCAGCATTTGAGGAAAGGAATCAAAGTTAACGCTTCGGAACCATTCTGAAGAAGGGTCACTGAACCTGAAATGTTAACTCTGCTTTCTCTTCACAGATACTGCAAGATCTACTGAGTTTTCCAAGTAAGTAAAGCATAGTGTTCTTGGCTATATTAGTAGGTGAATAGAGAACAAAAGCAAGGAAGGGATGTTGAACTTGTACAAAACATTTGTTAGACCTCAACTAGACAGTTCTGGATACTACATTATAGAAAGGATTTGACCACAATGGAGAGAATGCAGATGCAGTTTATAACAATGGTCATAGGTATGAGGAACTCCACTTATGAGAATAGATTGAACAAAATGGAACTGTTCTTCATGGGAGAAGGTGGCTAAAAGGACATCTGGTCGAGGTATTCAAAATCATGATGGGACTGGATAGCTTAGATGGGGAGAAAACTTTTCTGTTCATAAAAGGAACAAGGAAGTGGGGCATAGATGTGAAGTGTTCTGCAAAAGAAACAAGGGAGGAAAAACTTTTTCACTCAGTGGGCAGTTAGGGTATGGAATGCACTACTCAGAGGTGGTGGCTGCAGATTCAATTAGCCCACTGAAAAGTGTATTGGATGATAATTATGACAAAAATAACAGCGAGG